TAAGTTAAGAATTTTGGGAAATATCTTGGATTGAAAAGGTTGGGTTTTGTTTTTGTGTTGTTGTTTCCTAAATAGGTGGAAGCCTACTCTTTATTCTCCATAGAAATTATGTCCAAAGGAAGGAAAATCGAGAGAAATTTCTTTTTTTCACTCAGGAGAGAAGATCATTCATTATCTCTTATTCTGCCCGCTTCTTAATTCACTTGGATAAAAAGGAAATGTGGAGGTTCAAGGAATTTCAAAAGTTTCAGATATGCTCTGAGGAATGGATCAGATGAAATATGATGCCTAAGGACACAAAGGAATTGAAGGAAAATAAAGAAAACAGGAACTATCAGGACAATGAGAGCAAGCAACAGTGCCACCTTGTGGTGATCATCTTTCAAGCACAATCTTGTAGAAGGTGCAATTGTCAAGATGGGAGATCAGAGAGATTCTATAGACAGACAGTCTGACCCCACCTCCTCAACTGGGGGGTGAGGAAACTGAGGCCCAGAGAACTGTCAAATAATATCCAGTAAGGCAGCGAACACCCAAATAAACGTTACAAGTGGGGACCTTTACCTTTTATTTCTTCCATTTGCCTTTTTTCCTTCCAAATGGGTGAGGTTTTTTTTAAACAATTCATTTCACCATTTCCAGTGATTTTTGTAAAAATTACCCAGTCATACCAGAAACCGTATCAACAGTAGCATCTACAATTTTTATCCAATCCCATAACAGAAGAATATCAAATAGCTATCCAATATAAGACCCTACTTTTCGTTAGGCTACATGTTAACAGCTATTTCTTGATCTTTTTTCATCACTAAAAATACTTATCATTTCATTCAATACACTTAATCCAGGCATAAATTAGGCATATTTACACAGCAATAGTCAACACAAAATCTCTTTGAACCAGAGTACCTCAACGGACTATTGGCTTATACAAAGGGCTTTGAATCATTAAAATGCCCATATCAGTCTAAATTACATTAAGTTTGTTTTTTAAAACTTAACTAGAGATGTAAGGTCTGAAAGTTCTATGTTTAATAGAATATGCAAATACACAAGATGATATGAATTATTTCAAATAAATTCTTAATTGTGATGGTTTTTTCCTAGAATAGGAGAACTCTGCATTTTGGTCTCCTAAAAATGAAAAGTACTTCATTAAGACCAAAATTGTTCCCCAATTCCCTCAGAAAAAAAGATTAAAAGAAAACAGACAGTCAAAAAACACAATAGATTCAATTTCATTAAATGTATTGTCTGATTTCCTTTAGGCTCAGTTCATATTATAATTTTTTTTATATTTTCATAATTATGATTTATAATTTTTTTAATCTTTTCATGACTAAGTCCTAGCTTCCTAATGTATCCTTCAGGACAGAAACTGTCTCATACATCTTTGGATCCCTGTGGCAATAAATGTTTTAACAATGAAAACCTAAATTTGAGGCACACTAGCGAGTGCCTATTATCATGGCTGTTTTTAATACTTTGGAAAGGCCATGTCAGACAGAATGAGATTCCATGTTTCCAGTTCAACCACTTAACAAGCCCTGTGACTCTGAACAAATCACTTAACCTCTGGGAGCCTTTGCTTTCTCAAGGTATGGTACAGGGATAATCATCTTTATCTTCATCATCAGGATCAACATCCCTGCCCTGGCTACCTTACCAGGTTGCTGTGACAATCAAATGGGAAAACATTTTGAATATTTTGTAAAGTACATACAGATGTCAGATCCAATCATCCATGCAGAGTAATCACTGCAAGTTCTTACCTCAACTCCAAGTCTCTGAGGGGCTGTTAATGGGGTGAGAAGGATTTGGTTTATTCTACATAGATCTAGAGGGTAAAAACTAGGAACAATGGAAGGAAGCTACAGAGAAACAGATTTTAGCTCATGGAAGAAACCATGGCACAAAATGGACCACCTAAAGGAGCTGGAGATTTTAACTTGAGAAGATGTAAAGAGGAGGAAGGAAGAGACTGAAGAATTTACCACTAATGTTTGAAGAGCTCTCATTTGCAAGAATGATTAGATTTAATCTATGTAGATGGAGGAGAGATTTAGGACCACAGGGTAGTAGTTACAATAAATAGATGATGATTTATTAAGTCCTGCTACTGCCAAGCACTGTGCTAATCCCCAGGGATACAAAAAGAGGAAAAAGGCCATCCCTGCCTTCAAGGACCTTACCATCTAATGGAGGAGATAATACACAAACAAACACATACAAAGCAAGCAATACACAGGATAAATGGTAAATAATGAACAGAAGCGAAGCACTGGGATTAACAGGGGTTAGGGAAAACAGACTTCAGTATAATTAGATAAGGATAGGGATTAAACCAATGATTTCACAGGTGGAGAGAGTGCCAAGAGAGGAATTTAGCAATGAAAGGTCAAGCCCTTTTCCCAGGTATCATGAGTTGAAAGCAGGAGTAGAACTTCTCCTCTCCCCTTCCTTCTCCTCTCCTCTCTCCTTCCCTCCCTCCCCTAGTCTACACAGCCTTTCTAATAAAATTAGAACTGTCCCAAAACGAAACAGGTTATATCTCAAAGTAGAAAGATCCTACATCAATGGACTTGGCCAAACAGAGGCTAGATAACTATTTTGTCAGACATGTCAAAGAAAACATTCAGCCATTTTGGATAAGATGTCCTTTAAGGTCCCATCCAACTCCAGAATCTAATGCAAGAAGCAATAATACCAAAGATACTGATATGCTTCCCTTCATATATATATAAAGATGAAATTTGGGTGGATTTCAACTTTGTTTTTCCAGTGGTGGAGATGTGAAATACTCAATTAAGCACATACTGCTGTCTGGATCCCCTGGAGCCCCAAGACATGGGTTTGTGAGGAAAACAGCTGGAGTAAGGGATGGATGTAATCCATGACCATGGAACAAAGCTCTTATTTACAAAAGGGATTAGATAAAACATAGGAAAGGCCAAAGAGAAGAATTCTCCATACAAAGCGACTTGGACTATTTGGGCACAGGGATTTCCATTCCTGGCACTCATTTAGCATGACGTTTTACCCCACGGAATCCACAGGTCCAGAATGCAGCAATCATGAGAAATGCACAGGAAAAAAAAAATCCCCTGAATCATTTAAAATGTTTACTAGCAAGAAAACAAAATAGGAACAAAGCATCTGTTCTTCACATCTGTCAAAGAGTGATCTGACTATGAAGGAACCCTCTCCTATTTCTAAGAGTAGTCTCTAAATGATCTATCTTGAAATTGTATATCTTCTTCTCCACTATTTCCACTCACAGAAATAAGCAATTGGGGAGGGGGGGAAGATAAGAGGACAAAAGAGAGCAGAGATTCCTCCAGCGGCCAGAAGCACCAGTTTAAAAGAATGGTCAAGGCTAGAGAACAGACCTGGTTGCTAGGAAAACACATGTTGCTTTTTCCAAGTGCTTAAGCTACTTACAGGAATGGTATTTTGGGGGGCCACTCTCTACTTCCCCTCCCCCATTCCAGCTCTTCATCCCTCTTCCCCCTTCCTTCTCCAAAGGCCGGGAAAGTGGGAAGTAATTCAGAGTTGAGAGTCAGGGTTGGAGGGGAAAGGGGCAGAAGAACAAAAAAGCAGTGCTAAATGGATTGTTTATATTTTGTAATGCTAGCCAAGTGAGGTGGGTAGTGTAGGAACATGTGTCTGAGAATTCCAAGACTAGTTTGCAAGGCTGATAAGCCAGGAAACATCCTGCTGTATCCAGATAACTACATATACTCAGTAACAGAAGTATGTTTATAGGTTCTGGGATACTATGAGAAAGTAGATGGGATATTCTTAGCAATCTAAGACCTCAAAAACCATCATGAAAATAGAAGCTTTCTAAATTAATACAAATGTAAATAATTACATATATTCATTTTTTAAATTATCGTAAATCCAACTAAATATATAAAAGTGAGACTAGTGGAGTCATTCTAAGATACTACTATGGCAGACAGCAACATGAATAACAATGCTGTTAATATTACTAAAGTGCTAACAAGGCTGCCCCTTTCTAAAAATATTTTTCTATCTATTATCTTCATTTCCTGTAAGGGAGGTAGGACAGATAGACTGTCCTTATCTTACAAATGGGGAAACTGAATCACAGAGAGTTTAACTGGCTATAATCATAAAGATAGAACATCAGTATTATACCAATTCATCAAACTCCTGATACTCTGAGCGTCCCACTGGTTCATATGCAACTTAACGTGTTTTAGGCAATGTCATTTGACCTATATATAGTCTGTACTAATCTGAAGTGTGATCATAGAATCATAGCCTAGATGAGGATATGAGGCCCAGGGAGGATCAGAGATTTGTCTCACACGACCCTCATGGTAAGTAACCAACTGCACCAGATTGCCTCCAGTTGTGAGATCTGTAATAACAAAGTTCTACTCTATTTATTTTAAAAACATAAATTCAAAAAGAATCATAACAAAGAAGAGAGAATTGTCAAATTCCTAATTTCAAAATCATGATGGGTATACCTTGCTGCTAAAGTTTGCGTTCTCAACGGATATAAATAAATGTTAACTTACAATCGTAAGAACTTTACTACTTAAAGTTAGTCTTCACATTAATAGCAAACCCAGAAAAATCCACTCAACAAAAGTGCATTATATTCTTTATTTGTAAAAAATTATATTCTTTATTTGAGCAACATGCCCAAGGCCGCAAAGGTACCAGTCACTTTTTAGTGGGCAGAGAGGACAGCCTTCATACATACTCTCTGGGTTGTTAACCCTCTCCATCAGGAAATGTCAAGGCGTTCTTTCTCCCAAAATGCTTTTCAGATAATAAATACTTATTCAATGTTTGCTGAACTTCCTGAAGGCTCAGAATGGAAACATAAAACTTGAGAATGGTTTTAGAAAAGGATCTCACCTGCTTCCATGCAATGCTCAATGCTAGAAAGCAGGTATTTTTAATTAAAGATTAAACTCAAAACAATAGGATATCCTTTCTACTTCCATGGTGGATCTTACCTTCATATCTGCTAGGAGAATCGCACCCTTTCTGTGGAGTTGCCACTCGAAGGAAGATCTGTTGCCTCCACGAATGCCGCCGGGTCTTCAAAGGGTTCTCACTGTTACTATCATGGTGGTGTGTCTTCGATTCAAAGTCCCTATAATTATAGTATAATTGGTGTGTGATTAAATAGAGATCTTATAAATTAAGGCTGTGAGGCTTTTTTAAACCTCTAAATTATAAATTCTCCATGTATATAAATATAACAGTTAATCAGGATTCACTGAAGGTAAGGCGTGTTTACGATGGGCATGGGCAACCAAAGGAATGCAGAACTGTTCTCCTATAGACTCTTTTTCATGTTAAGAGCTATACTGCTCCTATCCAAATTACTTTGATTGCAAAAAATTACCAAATATGGTTAAGCCTTGCTGTTCTCAATGACATTTTGGAAAGCTGAAAGCTCACAAGAGACAGTTACTAAAACTTCTGTTTGTTGTGTTTTCTACACAGTGGGTCACATCAATGTGCTTTGTTTTGAACTGTGTACTTCTGAAATAGCTGTTTATTTATAGGAAATCAACTAGGACAAAGTCATGGAATGAAGCACTTATAAATATTTCATGTTTAAGTGAATATTTTAATAACACATGAATTAAAACTATGACATTGACCATATGACCCATTTTAAAATGAAGAAATAAATCATGTTTTAAATTTTTACTTCCTATGCAGATAACTGTCAGTCTCTCCCTTGACTATCTCATCTACTTCTACTGTTTTAAGGATCACCTTTACACAAGTGAATCCCAATTAGTATATATCTTAAGCCTACCCACCCCTTGAGCTCTAATCCAGTATTTCCGCCTATCTCCTAGATCAGGGGTGGGGAACCTACAGTCCCGAGGTTACATGTGGCCTTCCAGGTCCTCAGGTGTGGCCTTCTGACTGAGTCTAAGTTTTAGAGAACAAACCCTTTTATTGAGGGGATTTGTTCTGTGAAGTCTGGATTCAGTTAAAAGGCCGCACTTGAGGACCTAGAGGGCCACATGTGGCCTTGGGGCCACAGGTTCCCCACCCTTGTCTCAGATATTTCAACCTGGATATTCTATCAATATCTTAACTTTAACAGGACCAGGGTTTAACTCATCTTTTTCCACAAAACCTACTCCTCCTTCCAACTTCCCGATTTCTAATGATAGCACCATCATCATCCCATAAGCTTGGCTTAAAACCTCAGAATCATTTCTTCGTTCTCTCCCTCAACTCAACAGTTATCAAATTCCATCAGTTCTCTCACCATAACAACTCTTAGATTTGGCCATTCTTTTCTATTCCAGAGTTCAAGCAAGCCCTCAGCAGCTCTCCAGGAGGATTACCTGAATGGCTTAATTAGTTTCCCTGCTTGTAGCCTCTTTCCTCTACAATTCATCTTTTGCTCAGCTACCAAAATAATCCTCACAAGGCTCAGGTTTAAACATGGCATTGTTTTGCTCAAAACTGTCTGGTAACTCCCTACTGTGTAAGTGAAAAAGACTAATTCCTTAGTTTGGCATTCAAGGCCTACCACAATTTAGTTCCAACTTACTTATCTAAATTTATTTCACAATACTCAATTCAACAAACATTTATTAAGCACTAACTATATGCAAGCCACCATGGTAGGTACTGCATTTCCACTGCTACTCTCCACAAACTCTACCATCTAATCTAGCTAGACTACTACTAGTTATTCCCTGAGCTCATCCTAAACTCTGCTGCCTCCATATATATTCACATGGACGTTCCAATGTGCCTAGAACTCAATCCTTCACCTAAGTCTGCACAAAGACCAGATCATGTGCCATCTCCTCTGCAAAACTTTCCCTGTTGTCCCTCATTAACATCGAGCTCTTTGTCCTCGAGCTTTCTTCCTCAGGCTTGTCTCATACATACCTTGGCCTTTATCACACCTTGTCTTCCATCCCAACCCAACACCTGCCATCTTCTCTCTACTGCACTCTAAGGTCATTAAGGGTGGGGATGACTTTGTTTTGTTTTTCCAGCCTTTGTATCCCCAAACTTAGCACAGCACCTTGCATAAACAGGTGCTTAATAAACTTCAGAAGAAGTTACTGAATTGGAACTAGGATACTTGTCATTCAACAAAGAGTAAGCAGTCACATGTAATTTTTGGATATACGACTTAGTAAAAAAGCAGTGGTTCAGTAAGTTAGAGAAATAACCTAAAGTTCATTGTCCAAGGATGTTACTAAAGGGCTGAACAACCTGATTTGCCAACTTTTAGGGCCATTTTATAATAACAATGCAAGAATAAACTGTGGCCTTGGCACTGGGATGATGCTATGGTAGCAAAAGAGCCCAAGTGCATGTGAAATTTATTTTTTAAATCAACTCTGAAAAGAAAAACACAGAATAGTTGTTATCAGTGTGGTTCAGCTGCACTAGAATTGATAAGAGCAACTACCCCCATAATGGCTTTTAGAATTCATTCAAAAATACAATCATTAAATGCTTAAAACATCCAGCCTTGATAGCTATAGATAGAACCCTACCTTTTTGCGTTCCTAAAGTCAGAGGTGTTATTTTCATCTACAGGAGCCAAAAATTTTAGAAAATTTGGCACAGAGGAAGAAGAATGAAGTTTTTTCCGCAGGGCATTACGATAGGAGATGCTAAGAGTTCAGTTGAAAAAGTAGAGTTTAGGATAAAGAAATGTAAATACACAAAGCATAAATACAAGCTTAAAAATAAGAGAAAAGCATTTGAGCTTCAATTCCAGCAAGAGTAAAACAAGTAAGAAAACGAAAACTCTACCACTCTAATTTTTTTTTTTAAGTTTTCAGTTGAAAAAATTCAACTGTGAATAAGTGGGGTTCATGGAATGATAAAATACATGCCACGGCCCATCTCCCATTTATTTGTCTTTTTAACTGGAAAAATATTAACGTCATCCTAATACCAGGAAGTCTCTCAGAAAGTATAAATGCCAGGCCTGACGGGAGATCGATAAGTCATCATTATTAGGCGGAGTGGAAAAATGTGACAAACTATTTTAAAAAACTATTTGAGATCAGAACCATTTCCATCATTTCCTACTATTTAATTAAAAACAAATTACTCATGATAACAGACTGAAATGCAATTAGAAACATGGTTCCTGGTAATTCTGAGATGGACATTTCTTCCACTTAGCAACACATCACCTCTATGTTTAATTCAAACAAAGGCAATGAAACTATCACATATGTGCTCTCACCTCTTTGGCACAGCATTCCCACTTTGTTCTCCACTTGAATTATGTTTTAGGTATTTAAAAAAATTTGGTGAGGAGGCTGAGGGATTAAGACGAGGAGGTGGGAGAGCAGGAGCAGAAGGCTGACCTGAGCAGCTTTTAGAATCATCAACAGCTGGGTTCAGGCTAGACAGCAAGTCAACAGAGAGAAAGTATGGGAGGAAGGGAGAGAAAAAAGGAGAGAGTATGTCGGAAGGACAAAATAGAGACAAAATGAAGAAAACAGGTGAGACTCTTTCTATCTCGTTGTTTAAACACAACTAGTCAGTGCTTTCATGCCAGTATCTGTGAACCAATTATTTTTCGCTGCCCTTCACACACCCTTTATAGCTGACATTTCCAAAGGAGTTTTTAAAGAGAGAGGTTACAAAAAATGGTCTGTTAACCGGGTAGAGAAAAAAATGTCTCCAGGCTTTACTGATAGTTTTCCACAGTGCCTGAAGGGGCTTGTTCACTCATTAGTGGTGACCACACACACTTGTGCCCAAATTCAGGTTTTTGGCTCAAGGCTCATGGTAACATACACTTCTGAATTCTCATTTCTAGGAAGTGGATGAACCAACAGCAAAGCTTTTAAACTCAGGCCACTGTAAAATGAGGAACACCCTGTCCAAAGTTACCCCACCTAACTGAAAATGAGGAGATGAGTTTCCAAGGAGGACAAAAAGCAGAATGAGCTCTACTTTCCTTCTGAATGCTGCATATCCTGACTCCTAATCACCTAGGGCAAGCACATTCCATTGCTAAACTGCCTTCCGCCCGGGGAAAATATGCTGGCAAAGGTACAAAGTTCCCACCACCTCATGCTGGCATGGAAGCAGTAGTTCTGGCAAGAGAACCAGAAATCTACCAACAAGAATGTTTCCATAATCGCTGGGAAAGCTAGAAACAGAGTGGGCATGGGAGGAAATGGGTGGTACAGTAAGGAAGGAGAAGCTATTTATGGGCAGGGTTTTGGGGAAAAGAGGAAAGAAACCCCCTGAAGTTTTGTTCAAGGCTACACATATGCACTAGCTTCAGAAGCTATGATTACAATTCTTTAGTTAAATCGCCAAGAACTGATGGAGAACTAATGAAAATGAAGCTGGAAAGGTTAAGGCTTTCACACACTGCTAACTCTTGTGAAGTGAAATACTCATTGTAAAGAAATCGTATTTGTATGGATTATGCAGGATGAATACATCAATATCCCAGCACCACAACTGTGGTTCTGTTCGTACCAGTTACATTCATCAATGACTCACTGATGGATTCACACTGCTTTATAAGGCAAGGAAGATTTGGGGGGCAGGGAGGGGAGTAACTGGACTTTGAAGAGACTTCTCTCAAAATGATTATCCTGGGACACTGGCATTACTGGGGCCAAAGTACCAGACAAGGACCTCAGAAGGACAGGGAAAATTGCCACAACATTTCCTTCCTTTCTCACCTTTATAACAAAGATATCTTTTCTGCTCCCTAGGGACTTACTAGCAGAGAAAAAATAAACCTAGCTTGAGAGAATAGTAAAATTTTAGACATACAAGGAACCTTAAGAGATTACCCAGCTGTGTAGCAGACAACTTCCTCCACTCCTCCATAATGAAGGCAGAGAAGACAGAGAGGACAGGATTTGGATTTGGAATCAAAAGACCCGGGTTCAAATCCAGAATCTGCAACTTACTACTTGTATGGCAATTTCAGCTCGCTGGGCTTCAGATTCCTTAGATGCAAAATGAGGGGGCTGGATAAGAAAAAGGGTCCCCTGAGGTTCTAAATCTATGATCCTTTCATTTACATCTCCCAGTGTAAAGATGGGAAAGATGGGAAAGGCCCAGAGGGTCACATCACTTGTCCAACGTTTCATTGCTTGTTTAGTGGCAAAACCTAGACAGACCTTCCCACTTCCACTGCAATGCTCCTTTCCAGTCTATCAGGGGGCCTACGACCTTGGATTGTTTGATTGTGCCTGCCTCTCATACTGTTTTTCATGCACAGCATAAAGGATCCATCTCCCTGACTAATGAGGCATGAAAACACAATTACCTAATTTATTTTGTGGGGCCAACAGGTATGTACTAAGGCATGCTAAGTCTCTTGATCTCTCAGGGGAACAAGAAGCATAAAATCATAAAACTAATGGGTATTTCCTAACTTTCATTCTTTTTCCTCTCTCCTGCCTAAGTGACCCCTCACAATTTATATTTTTAACAGTAGAAGGATGAAGTGCATCAACTGAGACAAAAAAAGTATTACAACTTTAAAATAAAAACTTTCATTCTACTATCTCGATTTTCTTTGCCTTTGACATAAAAAAATGCACTGCATCAATTAATATAGCTTGGTCTTTCAAGGTATTCTTAAATTCTAGTCCTTCTAGTGTTAACAACGATAAATGATGGGCAAATATTGAGTACTGCTTTGTAACATTTTACCTGCGAGAAACAGAGAAGGTTAGTCCATTATTCACAAGATCCTAGCTGCATAGCTGCAGAAGATTTCTGAGGCCCCCTAGTCTAACACCCTCATTTTGCAGATGAAGAAACTGAAGGCCAGGCAAGTTAAGGAACTTAGCCAAGGTCATATGATTAGTAAATGTCAGAAGAAGAATTTGAACCTAGGTTCTCCTACTACAGAGCCAGTTCTCTATCCACCATGCTGTTTTGGGGCTTTATTTGTTTTTCTATTTGTCTTTTCATGTTAGCCCAGATTCCTTTATCACTCAATTAACATACCTGCAAATCCACATACCTGATCCACAGATATGCCCCAGCTATTTATAAAATAACATTATGCTTTTAAATGAATCTTACTTTCGCTCATGAGGAGTCTCTGTGCTCACTGAGTGATACCTCATAAGTTTCCTTTGTGGAACACTCGGTGATGCCTCTGGAGGCTCTGGGGACTTGTGACATTCGAGAGGATAATGACTCAAAGTGTTTGCTCGCCTTCTGAACTCCTGTCGAGGCGACAGCTGAGCAGGGTCTTCAGTCAAGTGGCTCTCTGAGTCACTGGAGAGGTCAACTGAGGATCCCAGGTGCCTGAAAGAACCTTCTGGGAGGGGTGGAGTCTCTCTTTCACACACAGATGGCTCCTGGCAGGAAAGCATCAGCAAAATGAAAGAAAGCACCCAATGAGAAATGATTATATGACATATCGACTCTAATCCAGTAAGAATTCATCAAAGTCTTTGCATGGTTAAACATCTCTACCCTTTATAATAAAAGAGGCAGAAGCACAGGGTGATGGATGGAGAGCTGTCCTCAGGAGTCAAGGAGACCTAGGCGGCAAATCCTACATCTGGGCTGGAATGAACACCCCATCCTGTCTGTGGGATTCGGGGCCCATCCTTTAACTCCTCAGTGACCCTCATTTACTTGTAAATGGAAGAATAGCTTCTAGTCAGAGTGGGGGAGGGAGTTTTTTCTACCTGGGAACTTCTCAGACTGATAAAATCACAGGTCTAGATGAAATGGAAAAATGAAAACTCTTGATAATACCAAATAAGACTTCCCACACACAACCCCCCTCCCCCCCCAAAAAAAGAAGGGCATATATGGCAGTATCTTAGGTATTAGAAATCTGTTTTACTGGGTATGAACTGTAGGTCTGAGGAAAATGTTCTATACACAAGTTTGAAGAAGGACTATGGTGCTATATAGCTACATTGCATAAAACTGCAGGCTCCTGACTTCATAAATAAACTGCATCTTTGATTATGACATAGTGGAAGTTATTTTATGAAGAAATTCCATTGTTTAAACCAACTATCAAGCCATGTCCCCAATACCTATGTCATCTGCTAGACCACAAGTGTCAAATACTCGAGTTTAACTTTAACCAAATTAAAATGTAACTGGAAATATTTAACAAAATAAAGAAAAATACACTAGAATATAGATAACGTTAATGTGTGGTTTTCTAAGTCAATATGCAGATCCCAGATCTTTACATATGGTTTAGTGGTCCTCTTTTCTATTTAAATTTAACACTACTGCCCTAAAAGTTGAAATATTACAATGTTGTACCCATGCCTGGAGGTTCAAGTCAACTTAGTAAACATTTATTACATTTCCCCTTAAGAATATAACACTGGGCCAATATCTAAATTTAGAATAAAATTGTGAGAGCTTTTTACTATCTTGTATTCCTCATATCCTCCAATGGTGTTGGACACAGAGTAGGCACTCAAATTGAGGAGTGAGTGCTCCAGGCCCTTCCAATGATAACCTTGATAATATTTTATTATCCATGCCTTCAAAATTAAGGTTAAAAACAACCAAGACTCATTCAACCCAACCACATGAAAACTCACCCTGAAACCGCTGGAAAGGATGAACCAATCAGTACACCACACCAAGAAAGGAGTGGAGCAGTTTACTAGGAAATCCAATTTCCACTTAAGATTTAAGGAAATTATTTTTGTGCTATTTTGGAAAAGACTGAGTTTATCCTTGGAATAGAAAAGAAAATCTATACTTTCTGTCTTAGCATTCTCATATAAGGACACATGTAACTTCTGCTTTACTATGCTGCATTAGCTACCCTAGACACCTGTTATTCACACATCATTTATCCTTTAAAGCATTTTATGAATATACTATCAGAATACCCTATGCTTCAGAGAAATTTTTAATTTAAAATAATTTTTAAAATGTTATAGCTAATATCATAAGCACCATAGTTTTTAAACATTTATACAGCACTTTAAGATTTGCTTAAATACTTGTAAATACACTTTGAATGCATAATTATATTTGAGATAGGGGCTTATATTATTCCCCATTTTACAAATGAGGAAACAGGTTTAGGGAGAGAGGTCAAGGGACTTGCTCCAAGTGTCAGAGGCAGAGTCCAAAACCCCCCCTCAAAAAAATCACCAAATTCATCTAATTACTTACTATTTAATTGCAAAAAAAAAAATGTATTAATCAAAACAGAATAACTAGAGCCCAAATGATTCTTCTCACAAAAACCTCATTTTCCAAATCAAAAAAGTAACTGAGAAGGCCAGGTTCTTTGCAGCTAGTGACTTCCAGGTGACCTGTTTTTAAAGGGCTTACTTCCATAAAAGAGTCCTTACTATCTTTCCAGCTGTGTATAAATCTTCCAGCATGCAAAGCAGAAAAGATAAAAAGAAAATAGGAAGAAACAGGCACACAAAAGAGGGCTTGTAGGGAAAAAAAAAATTCTCTCTTAGAATAGCTAAAAGATGTGAGCTTTGCACATACTCCCAAATTCAGAGCTGGAAAGAGAATGGAAGGGGGTTTCCTCTAGGGTTCACTGCATTCAATTGATTGCCATTAATCTAGGCTTCAAAAGACTTCAGCCCAGGAAATTGCCATCATCTCTATAGTCAGAAGGCATAAAATTAACCAGCCCAACTGGTATCCTGGGATGATCTCCAACCTTGGAGGAAATTTAATAGGCCCCTAGGGATAGTGCCCTCTGAGTACAGAAGAATTCTGCTGCACCTACAGCAAAAGCAGCATTGGTCTTTAGAAGCAAAAAATATTCAATTACCAATGCAAAAAGGGTGGGAGAAAATGCAGAATAATCAGTCACCAATTTAACTTTATAAGTGAAAAACATCAGACTATCCAAGTTACAAATACACTTATAGAACCTGGGAGGCGAGACAAACCAAGTGCCATGCATGGCCAGAGAAAGCAGTCTACAGGGTGCAAAAGCAGAGTTCCAAATATACTGGATACTATCACTGGCTTGTGATCACAATACTATTGGCAGCAGATGCCTTGAGCTAAACTGTGGCTTTGGCTTGATTTGTTATTTCTTTATTAATTATGATCATCCTAACATTCAGAATATTCAGTAGAACGAACTGCAGTCAAGCATTAATATGAATTCACACACCCTTTTTTGAGGCTTTACAGTTATTTCAAAGATAACAGAATCCCTCTGGTAGGAGGAATACATTGCTACCATCTGCTAGATTAGATCTGGATTATCTAAAACTGTGATCTCATTTGTTTGCTTATTGAGGGCATACCCATCTGTTCTTAATGTTCAAGTTTCCATTTATGTAACAGAATCCTACAATAATTCTACCTGGTTAAGGATGCTTAAAGTGCAATACTTTTATATAAACACATACATACATACACATATACATGCATGTACATATGTCTGTGTGTGTCTGTACACACACAGAGTGAAATTCACAGCACAGTGTCTTGACTTAGGTTGAGGTACACAGTAAATATTTGTTAATTAGCTTTAAATGTGTCACACCACATGAAATTTGCTTACTTTACTGGTGTTACTTAATGTACTCGACATAGAGCTGTCCAAATCCACACCCCCAGAATGTTCTGGCAACCCTCTGGCTTTACTGCCCTACAAGAAGAAAAACAATGAAATTATGATCTGTTAAGTTTTTCTAAAAAAAAGAACCTTTCAAAATCACTTTAATTCCGTTTAAAATGCACATGAACAATGCAAGCCAATTAACATAATGAGAGTAATCATAAGAACACATGCTTTTTTGATCCTCACAACAACCCTGTGAGGTAGGTACTATATTATTATCTCCATTTTACAAATGAGAAAACTGAGGTACAGGGAGGGTAAGTTAATTTCCCAGGGTCACACACAGCTTATGAGTACTAGCAGGATTCAAACCCAGATCTTTACAAATCAAAGTCTAGCACTCTATCCATCATGCCACCTAGCTGCCTTTCCCACCAGAAAATACTCAGCAGAGAAATGAACTCCATGAGTCAGGAAGAGAGTGCTAAAAGCAAGTTACAAAACTTTCCACTGAAATACTGTCTTCTTTGCATCACAAATCTTAAGAACTGATCAAAAGATAGTCTAAGATATTTTACCCCTTGAGAAGTTCCCTAAGGACTTCCAGCCCTTCCAACTCTGGTTCTGGATATCATGAAGAAGATGCTGCAAAATTCCCAAGAGAATGCTACAAAATAAAGTTGGTTATAAATTCACTTTATTTTTAAGAAACAAGCACTGTATGTACTTTTCTTATGCACTTAACGCATTGTACTTTGGATTACGGCTATATATCTGATCTCCTGCCCCTCAAGAGGACCACAGCTATCTCATTCATCTTGGCATTTCCCCTCTGTGCAGAGCACAGGCAGGGCCTTTTCCCACAGTCCATATTCAAAGCATGGCTGTTGAACTGAACTCAAAGGTTGTGCCACAGAATCAAAAAGAAAAAAAAAATGGGTGCTACAATTCCAAAACATGTTTGCTTGAAACCACTTTGTTTATTTTTGATAAATGAGAGCATGCACTTGATTTAAAATGCGATTGGCTTACAATTTGGGTTTGGAGGGAGGTCAGGGTTTTTTTTTTTATTTCCAACAATGAAAAGTTGTTAATGTCAAGAATACTTCATTGAGTTGAATGATCTTTACTATCAACTCTCACATTGCTCCATAAGAACTACTTTTCTAAAATAGTTTTAACTTCAAATCCAAACACACATTATTGAAATGGGAAGTGGGGGGTGGAGAGAAGCAATTTCTTGAGAAGTTCATTTGTATACCGAGGAACTCTCCATCAGCCCAGCATGTTCCTCATAGATAAGCAATCCTCCCTTCATCTCTCATGATTCCCGTCTCATTCACTACAGCAAGGTCCCAAATGCACCCCTGCTTGACGGCCCAGTTCCCCCCCGCCCTTCTGTTATGCACACGCTCACTGCTGATGACCCAGCATCCTACTTTACAGAGAACACACAAGGGTTTCCAAATGGAGGCTCTCTAAATTCCCTCAGGAGAAAATTTGCGTTCTCGTTCGTTCTCTCTCTCTCACCCACACATATACATTTATATACTTACATGTGCATGTACACACATAATAAGAGTGATCCTAGCAATAGTTAACATTTATATATTGCTTTAAAGTTTTCAAAGTGTTTTACATATAACTATATAGACAGGTAAATAGTTACAGTTATTTATATGTTGTCTCCCCAAATAAAATGTGAGCTCCTTGAGTCCAGGGACCATGTTTTTACCTTGCTTGATATCCATTTATATTCCTGAACTACAGTCTTGCACCACCAATTACCTAATAGACATCTCCAACTGGCTGTCTCATAGGCATCTCAATGTGCCCCCCAAAAAATATGGTGGTGCCAATAACATAAATTGTGAAATCTGAAGGTGGGATAGGTTAGAAGGAAATGATAATTAATAGGTTTGGACATGCTGACTTTGGGATGCCTATATTTTCCCCCTAAACCTAGTGCTATTTCCCCTATTTCTGATGAGTTACTCTCCCAGGGTCACACACAGCTAGTAAGTATTGGCAAAATTCAAACACAGATCTTTGTGAATCAAAGTAAGAGAAATAATTATTAATAACCTAATATGCTAATGGGGGAGGGGGGAGAGCCAGGTTTTTTTCCCCCCTCTCTATTTCCCCCACTTTAAAGATAAGGTCAGGGCAGCCTCTGAAGGACAGGGCTGATGATGGGATTGGGTTAACATTCTCCTCAATCATGGGCAGACCTCACCCAACTGGGAAAGCTTAATTCTAATTAAAGGGTAAAGACCATCTTATCTAGGTGGTGTTCTAGGTGGAAGAGAAATCCTTTTGTATACATTACTGGAGGCAGAATGATGTGGTCAGAGTCATGTTCCCACAGCCCCTCATTGGAGTAAGCCCACCTCTCATTGTAATATTCATTCTCTCATTAATGGTTAACCAATCAGAGTTGACTTCCTCCTGTCAGAACCACCCACTCTCTCTTCAGCAGCCTCCATGATTGGTCTCTGGTTTACAAAAGAAAACCACTGACCTCAATTTATTAATTACTGGCCAGCCATAATTAATAAACTGATTATTAATTACCCAGAAACTATGTCTCTCAGACTTTTCATTCATCACAGAAGTCTAGCATGCTATCCATCATGCCACCAAGAAGATCAGTCAAGAGAAGAGGGCTAAGAGCAAATTATAAAAGCTTCCACTGAAATACTGTCTTCTTTGCATCACAAATCTTAAGAACTGATTGAAAAGTAGTCTAAGATATTTTATCCACTGGGAGGCTCTCTAAGGATTCCTAGTCCTTCCAATTCTGCTTTATTTCCACCTTTCTTCCAATTATTCACATTCACTGCCTTGGAGTCATCATACTACACTCTTGACTATCCTTTACCCCTATCATTTAGCCAGGGAATTTCCAAGTCCAGTCAATTCTTTGTCCACATCATTCACATCCATCCTCTCTCTACTCACCCCAACATCTTTCAGGCTCTTATCACTGCTCATCTGTATTGCCACCATAGGCTACTCCAAGGTCCCCACTTCTCCAGCCTTTCCCTTTCTTTTATTTGTCCTCTACAAAGCTGACAAATTGATTTCCTTAAAGACAGGTCTGACCACACCACTCTCCCCACTCAAGAAAGCTCCATTAGTTACCTATTGTCTCTAGGTTAAAACACAAACTTTTCTTTGGGGCATTTAAAGGATTATTCTCCCCCATGTTGTACTCTACATTCCAACTAAACTCCCATTTCAGAGGAGAAGATGCCCCATACCTATTCTAGATCCCATCCCCTACCACCTCCTACAAGACTTTACTCCTTCAATTCTCTCTTTCATACAAGCTTTCTTCTCCAATGGTAGCACCTCCCATCTGTCTACAAACACTCTCAGGTCTCCCCAAAACAAAAAATAGTAACACCCAAGCCTCTCCTTGATCCATCTACTCCTGAAGCCATCCTACCCTTCCACCCCATTCCTGCCTTTCACTGTCACTCATAACCATTAACCTATTACAGGCTCTCACAAATACCTGCTCAATAACTGCATTAGCCTCTTAAACTCTGCGAAGCGGTAGACTACCCTCACTTCCAGCAAAGGCCAGGGGACCACTGCCAAGTTTGTGGTGGAAGGGCTTCATGTTCAGCTACCACCTGGATCAGAATGGTCCATGAGATCTCTTCCTCCTGACATTCTGGGATTCCTTCTGCCTTCCCATTGCCATCCAGGCTCCAGGCTCCCCTGACAGACTACTCTTCTTAAAATACAGATCTAATCATGTCATTCTTCTGCTCAAAATCCTTCGATGCCTCACCTAAAGCCTGCCAAACAAAACTCAAAATCCTTATTCTGACACTGAAGGACTTCTGCCATCTGGCATCCTGCCTTTCTTTTATTTATTTTTATTCTTGCCTTTCTAGCCTTAGGTCACACTACACCTCTCCATTCCTGGCACAGCCAGACTGAACCACGAGCAGGTCCCTGCGCATGCCCCTTGCTCCCTGTCTTCGTGCCCCACTGTTTACTCTGTTTGAAATGCCTTTCCTCCCTCCACCAAACTTTCCTTTTGCCCAGATGAAATTCTACCAATCCTTTAAAACCCGAGTCCAATACCACCTCCTCTACGGACCCTTCCCAACTATTCAATAATCATCCTTCATTCCTTGGCTCTTAAAATATTTGGTTTGTCCCTCTCTTTGAGAATTCACTGTGGCTGAAAAATTCATCCCCTCCTACAGCTAAATCAGGTAATATACCCTTCTTGACTCACCAGTCCTACACCTGAAGCCTTTCCAGCTTGAATAGGACCTTCCAGGGTTCATTGTTGAGGCCTGAGGCACTGGAAGCCAACTTAATTGGACAAAGAATACATACTGAAAATCATTTGTTTAAGCATATGCATAATGACTTTTTAAATATTGGAGGTCTGTCTTTGAAAGAAATTGTTATATAGAGGAAGACTGTGGTAATTTCAAGAAATGAATTTTGAGGGATCTTTCTATAAATCTCACTTGTAGGAAAAACCAATGAACTCTGAGCCACAGGACCTGAGTGCAAATTTCAGTTCTGGTGATTATAATACTATATGACCTTATGCAAGTCACTCAAACTATCTAGCCCTCAATTTGTCTGTAAAATGAGAAAGTTGGACCAGATGACCTTCAAGATCCCCCACAGCACTGTATCCTATGATTCAATGATTACAACAGGGTGACAACAAAGTAAAGTGAGCAGAACCAGGAGAACAATTTCTATAATAACAACATTATAAAAATAATTTTGAGAGTTAAGAACTGGGATCAATGGTCAAGCATGATTCTAGAATGATGAAACTATTAGACAGGTAACAAATTCATGATGTAAGCAAGACAAGAGACATTATCAGATACAACTGGTGTGGAAATCTGTTTTGCTTGCCTATATATTTTTATTGCAAGGGTTTTCTTTTTCTTTTTTCGAGGGCGGGGGGGAAGGAGAGTAGGGTGGCACCACAGAATGAGGAAAGGATAGAGACAGAGTAAAAGAAAAAAAAAAGAGAGAAAAGATGGCCACTAATGCTTTTTTTTTTAAATTCAGAGAAGAAAATAAGAAACAACAAAGAAATACAGATAAGCAGGACAGCTTTGAAAGCTAAAGGTTGAATTTATGTACTTGAAAAGTGACTGTACATATGAGAGATCTGAAGTATAACATATAATCTTTTCCTGTTCTATTTTGCATATTGACTCATTTTATTTGATGTTTATTAAGTTCAGAATAAAAATAAATGAAAGAAAACAACAGGAAAAATTCACAACTCCCTGAAGTAATACATCAGAAGTGCTTTACACTAAATCCTAAAAAATTTACAGATCTGGAACATATAATGGTACCCACCAATTACTAATTCTTTTTATTTTCAAAATCATTTTCATTTGTATTATAGAGACTAGAACTCGGGGCTTACAAGTTGTCACACAATGCTCACTGTAAGAGTTGTCCAATTAATACCATTTTTTGTTTTGAGACAAAAATGTTTCCCATTGGGACACACTAGAAAAAAAAATGGTGGGAAGGAAAATAAATTTTTTTCTAAGAATCAGAAAAAAGTGAATACTATTAAACACAAAGTAGTTTTATGCTTCTTTATTATGATGAATCAGATTAAATAAAAGCATAACTATCCTTTTTATTCACCCCCCTAAAAAGCTGTTTTATTCAAAAATTAAGTTGAAATTAATATACTTACCCGGGATAATATACTTTCTAGAGACTCTGTCAATGATCTCTTTGCTTTACTTTTCAGCATATCAAGCCTAAACCGAGTGGCACTGGTTGGTAATTCATTTCGAATAGTCTCTGCTGAAATCTGTGATGCCTACATATGGCGGGAAACAAGTAAATTAAAGATTAATTTGTGTGTGCGTACATTTGAGCAATATTTTAAAAACCTCCAGGGTAGATCTTTTTTTGATGAAATTAGATCCTCTAAAGCAAAGAAGGAGAATATTCATTTTTCACTGTGCTTAATTTATGTTTCTCAGAAAATAATTTCTCCTTTGAAAGTTCTTACGGATATTCATTCCATTAGGGTTAAGATAAAGAATGCTAGATAAGATTAGATTAGCTTTTTTAATTAGATTTTTAAAGGGAAGTGATAATTTACTCTCAAGCCCTAATAAGAAACACTGATTTTGCTACCTACTGACACCTCATTCTCAACTTTTCTTCTTTTTCCCAAAATGTTTTTTCTTTCCTAGTTTTTAAAGTATTTGTTAGTTTCACTGAATGTAATTTAATATTCCTTAGCCATTAGTCAAGTAGTTAAATATTTTAGATTTCTCTAAGAAAAAAACTTTTAACTTTAGAGTTTGGTATTTTTTTTTTAAATTTGTGCCCTAACGTGATTTTTCCTACCCACACTTTTAAGACTTACATCCCTAAAATAAGTAGACCTTCTCTACTAGTGTAAAAATAAGCTTGATCATTTTTTTATTAAGCCTTAATCACCAAATGGGCACTGCCTCAGTCAAACCGAGACCTGTTAAAGACCTTAGCTTGAAAAGGCCAAGATCCTCCAGTCCATCCAGGGCCATCTCTAGTTGTCCTGATCCATATCTGGCCACTGGACCTAGATGGTTCTCCTCTCTGGGAGGAAAAAGTGAGGCTGGTGATTTTGTACAGCCCTCCCTCACTTAAATCCAAATCCCTTGCATGTCTTAGCATCACCTCCCTGACATCAAGATCTTCTTCAGCAGCAGCGAAAACAAGCTGAATATGGGCCTAGAGGTCCTGGTTTTGAATCACAGCTCTCCTATTTACTTACTATCTGTATGATCTTGGGCAAGTCACTTAACTTTAAGCTTTCTCATCTGTAAATAAAGAAGACTGAGCTAGATAAGTTCGATGGTCCCTTCCCAGGCCTAAATCCAAGATTCTACTGTCAGAGAACGCATAATATGCATCCTTCTCAACAGATTCAAAAGCATTTAATTAAAAATGATAGCTTGGGCAGCTAGGGGGTACAGTGGATAGAGTTCCAGCCTTGGAGTCAGAAGGACCTGAGTTCAAATCCAGCCTCAGACACTTGTTAGCTGTGTGACCCTGAGCAAGTCACTTAATCCCAATTGCCTCACCAAAAAGCAAAGAGAGAGAGACAGAGAGAGCCCATAAAAGATTTTGCTGAACTTTTTTTCTTCTCCTCTTTGTTTGCTGAGGTTGTAAACCTGGGGTCTCTGATGATTTTTTTAAATATTTTGATAAATATATTTCAATATAATTTTTCCTGTTTTTTTTTTATTTTATGCATTTAAAAACATGATTCTAACGAGGGGTCCTAGGCTTTACCAGAATGCTAAAGGGGGGTCCATGACATAACAGAGTTTAAGAACCCCTGTTTTAAGGGATGGCTCTCACTGTAGGGGAAGGGGAGGGATATACAAAATGAAGTAAATGACGTAAAAAACAAATATATCAAAAATTTTCAAAAACAAAAAGATGCCTCTGTGTCTCTGTACCTCTTCTTTCTCTACAGTCTTTACTTTGATTATCTCATTCTCCCCCAAGCAAATTACTGCATCCATACAGACGACTTACAAACCTATCTTTTGTCCAGATTCTAGACTGAGATCTAGACTGATATCTCCAACTGTTTAGAACATAGCTACATAAAGATGCCCCACCAGCACTCCAAACCACTATTTGCCTTTCCTAAATACAATGAAAACTTCTCCTAACATGTCACAAACCCTGCTCTTGTCTTCCTCTCTAAACCCGCTCCTTCTTTGGGCCATTTACATAGTTTTTCGTGTGTTTAACCTTGTGATTATCTTTCCTTCTTTCTTCCCTCTCCCTCACCTCCCATATCCAGGCAATTACCAGGTCCTGTTAATTCCCTATCTACAGCATCTCCTCTGTCCTCTTTTCTCTATTCCCACTGCAACCATTCTATTCCATGTTCTCATGAGCACCCTCCTGGGCCAAGAAGAACGGGCTAAAGGTGGAGCCTACAGAGTCACACACTTAGGAGGGCAAGAAGAGTAAGACTGACCAGAAGGTGATTGAAAAGTAGTAGTCGGGCAGGGCAAGGAAAACAGAAAAGGGGAGTGTCACTGGGACCAAGGAAGAGAAAGAAAGATGTTCAATGTTTTTAAATTATGTAGAGGGATCAAAGACCATGAGGTTGGGGGGGGCGGGCCGCAATATCCCAGTGGTCTAAAATAACAACAAGGTCATTCAAACATAATCCCACAATCTCACAAAAGATCTACCCCGATTCACTCTGGAATACAGTGACACCAGGCTCCCCCTGCTGTTCCTGGAACAAGATGTTCCATCTCTCAACTGGGCATTTTCACTGGCCGTCCTTCCTGCCTCCAATGCTCTTCCCTCCTCATCTCCATCTCCTGGCTTCCCTCGCTTCCTTCAAATCCCAGGTAAAAACCAACCATCTACAAGAAGCCTTTCCCAATCCCCTTAGTTCTAGTGCATTCCCTCTGCTAATTATCCCTATTTATCCCATGTATAGTCTGTACCTATGTATTTGCAGGTTATCTCCCAACTAGACTGTGACCTCCTTGAGGGCAGGGACTGGTTTTTTGTTTTCTTTTCTCTTCTTTTCTTTGTATTCCCAGCACTAAGCACAGTATCTGATAGTAGGGTTTGATGGCACACAGTAAGCACCTGATAAATGTTTACTGGCTAACAAATATTATACAAATACATATATATGTGTATGTATCTCTCTTTTGGGCTTATTCTACAATATGCCTTATTCAACCTTCCTTTATTCTTTATTAGAACACAGGGCTATATCTTCCTTATTTTGCATTCTAACCTAACACACTGAATGCATGAGAGTTTTATAATTTTTTTTTTTTTTGTCCTGGACTCCTTTTGGCCATCTGATGAGGCCTACTGTAGTAATAATTAGTAATAGTAATAATAATAGTAATAGTAATAATAATAATAATAGTAATAGCAACAGTAGTAGTAGTAGTGGTAGTGGTAGTGGTAGTGGTAGTGGTAGTGGTAGTGGTAGTAGCAGTAGCAGCAGCAGCAGGGGCAGTAGCAGCAGCAATGGTAGTGGTGGTGGTGGTGGTGGTAGTAGTAGCAGCCAGCAGCAGCAGTAGCAGCAGCTAATAGCTAGCTTTTACACAGGACCCATTATGTAGCAGGCACTGTGCCAAGAACTTTATAAATATTGTCTCATTTAATCCTCACAACCAACCTGGGAGGTAGGTGCTATTATTCTTATTCCCCATTTTAAAGATGAAAAAACTGAGGCAAATAGAAGTTAAATGACTTGCCCAGGATAACATATCTAGTAAGTGTCTAAATATGAATTTGAATTCAGGGTTGCCTGGCCCTCTATCCATTGTGCCACTTAGCTGCTGTAAAAAATTTTAAAGCATAAAATAAAATATGTAGGAATAAAAAGGAAACCAATTATATTGAAATAGCAAAATATTTTTTAAAAATTCCAAGTTCAAGGCTTAAAATTCCTGCATTAGATACTTAATACATATTTGATACATTAATGAATGAACAAATCCTCTCAAAACATTTCCTCAGTTATCAAGTTAAATCCACTAAAAGAGCAAGAAATTTACACTTTTTGAAACAAACAGAACCAGGAAAACAGTGTACACAGTATCAGCAACATTGTGTGATGAGCAACTATGAATGACCTAGCTCTTCTCAGCAACACAATCATGGAAGACAAGTACAAAGGACTCATGAAGGAGAACACTATCCACATCCAGATAAAGAACCGATGGACTCTGAATGCAGATTGAAGCATACTTTTTTCACTTACTTTATTTTTTGTGGGGTTTTTTCCTTTTGATCTATTTCTTCTTTCACAAGTGTGACTAATATGGAAATACATTTTACATAATTACACACATATAACCCATATCAAATTGCCAAACATTTTAGGAAGAGGGGAGGGAAGGGGAAAAAAAAATCTGGAACTCAAAATCTTATAAAAATGAATGCTCAAAATTGTCTTGACATAAAATTGGGAAAAAAGAAAATACTATTAAAAAAAGAAATTTCCACTTTTGCTTATTTTTCTTACTTTACATATATATTTAATTTTAACAAGTACCTGTCTAGACTAGAGATGGAAGTGAGTAGAAGGAAACTACCCACAAACAGGCCTCATGGACAAGGCTTCATTTGATTCAATACCAATATGTACTTTCTTTACCCACTAAGCTGAGACAGTCTAATTGCTTTCAAATACATAATTAGAGTTTTCATAAAATAGCTGCAAAGAAGTTCAACTGATTCTTTAGCTATTTATGGGAAATACTGGCTGAAAGACAAAAAATGTAAAAAGAAGTAGGAGTTGATATAAAAGCTATACTCATTTCTTTTTTAGTCAGACAATAGGAGTCTCTGGGTCCCTAAGGAAATCTATTCCTCTAATTGCTTCAGGGGGTAAAAAAGGCAGCCTACTAGACCTAGTCCTGAGTCCCTAAAAAAAAAAAACAAATTTCACTTTAGCCAAAAAACCCTAACATACTTATCTTAATAAAAAGAAAAATCACACCAAAATGACACCAAAAACCAATTAAGAGACTATGAATTGAGGAAAATAGTACCCTTTCTAGGACACTAACATTCTGTCTTGTGTCTGTTATACTGTGTACTTCCTCCTCACTACCACAACACTCACTTAGATTATAAAGGGGAAAAGGTAATGGCAAATTAAAAGCAACACATCACGGCTCGTTGGAAGGAGGGGAAAGGGTAAAAACACCTATCTACTGAAAAATAATGTCAGAATACTCCTTGTACCCTACCACTACTATTAGACTCTCCTAAGTTTGTGCCTTAGCAACCTCTCCTCTGAGATTCAAACAGTACAAACTGATCACTCATTCCAAATTAAATCTACTGATCCTCAATGAACTCAGTGGTTGCTAAATCTCTCTTTCCACCCTACCTCCGGTCCTCCCATTAGGAGACTTGAACATGCAAGTTAATGTCCCTTAAAATACCCTAACTCTCCCGAATCTATTCAAATCCCATAACTACCTACCCCACTCTACTTTAGCTACTGTATACACAAGGATCGTACCCTTGATCTTGCCATCCATAAGGGTTCTACTTGATTTTCAAGAACTCCACAATTCCTTCATACAATTACAATCTTTTCTCATTCCATCCCTTCCTATGCCTTCCTTATTCCTTCTAAACCTACTCTTTTTCCTCACAATTATCTTCAATATCTCAATTCACCAGTACTTTTCTCAGGATTTCTCTCCTCCTCCTCTGACTATACTCTCCTGCCTCACCAATCTTGACCTCTTGGCCAATCAGTTCACCTCTATACTACCCTCTGCTCTCAGATTCCTTGTTCCCTAGCCTTTTCACCAACCACACCTTGCCAAGCCCCATTAAGAGACCATTGGTAACTTTGGCTATAAATTATTTCAGTTTCTTCATCAAAAAACTGCCTCTTCATATCCTTTGACCATTTATCAATTGGGGAATAACTCATATTCTTAGGAAGTTCATAAAGTTCTTTAAATATTTGAGATATCAGACCTTTGTCTTTGAAACCGTCTATAAAATTTTTCTTCAATTTTCTGCTTTCCTTCTGATCTTGACTACATTTATTTGTACAAAAACTTTTTAATTTAATCTAATCAAAATTATCCATTTTATACTTCACTCTGCTCTCTATCTCTTGTTTATTCATAAATTGTTCACCTATCCATAAGTCTGATAAGTAATATGTTCATGGTGTATAATATTTCCCTTTATATCTAGGTCATGTATCCATCTTGACCTTATCTTAGTAAATGGTGTAAGATACTGATCTTTGCCCAATTTCTACCATACTGCTTTCCAGTTTTCCCAACAATTTTTACCAAACAATGAATTCTTATCCCAAAAACTTAAGTCTTTACACTTGTCAAATACAAGGTTACCATAAATATATTTGCTGCTATAAATTGTATGTCTACTCTGTTCTATTGGCCTACCTCTCTATTTCTTAGCCAGTACCATATAATTTGATAATTATTGATAAACTATAAAGTTTAATATCTGATACTCCTAAACCTCCTTCCTTTACATTTTTTATTAGTTCCTCTGATATTCTTGACTTTTTGTTCTTCCAAATGAAATTTTGTCCTTATTTTTTCTAATTCAATAAATTTTTTTTTTTTGGTAATTTAATTGGGATGGCATTGAATATATAAAATTAGTTTAGGCAAAATAGTCATTTTTATTATATTGGCTCTGCCTATCCATGAACACTTAATATTTCTCCAATTACTTAAATATGGTTTTATTTATATAAAAAGTTTTTTATAATTTTGTTTACATAGTTCCTGGGTTTGTTTTGGTAACTTCTGAGACAGCAGTTTCATTTGAAAGGTCTCAAGTTAAAAGCCAGACTGCAGAGGATTTAGAAGAAAAGTGAAAGGAGTGGAAGTGGAGGAAATAAGTGTAGATAATTTTTGCAATGAGTTTAGCTGTGAAAGAGAAGACAGATACAGGATAATACCTAGTGGGCATGGTCTGCTCTCATGAGGGTTTTTTAGGGATGGGGAGATATGAATGTTTTGTAGATAGCAAGGAAGGACCCAGTAGATACAGAGCTTACAGGTTAGGGGACAGGGGGATGGTGGTGGGGGCAGTCTGCTAGAAAAGATGAGATGGACCAGGATCAGGGGTTCATGTAAAGTGATTGACCTTGGCTGGTTGCCCTATGAACAATGACTACAATAATGTAAATAAAACACCAAAAGGCAATTGAATTCTGAAGTAATTAGAATGACAACTCTCAGACACAATGAAGAGAGGATACAGTATAATACAGTATACCTCCTACCCCTCACTAGAAAGATAGGAGACCACAGGATGTACTGGACTCTTCATGACTGTTTTCGTTTGAAACAAGGGAGAGTTCAACAGGCTGGGATGCAGTACTAGACTAGGATTACTACAGCATTAAAAAAAAAAAGAAATCAACAAAACTTTTAAAAATTGGATTTAAAAAAAAGGGCAATGGACTAAAAGATGTCTAAAGCCTCCTTCCAGTTCTACATACATTATACTATGTACCGGCACATTCCTATCTGAATTTATCTAAATTTATACACAGAAAGGGAAAGGATCATAGCACATAGCACAAACCTTGATATAATCTTATTACGTCTAGCCCAGGGGTGAAGAACGTGCGGCCTTGAGGCCACATGTGGACTTCTAGGTCAAGTGCGGCCCTAATTCAGTCAAAAAGCTGCACTTGAAGACCAAGAGGACCATATGTGGCCTCCAGGCCGCAGGTTCCCCATTCCTGTAGGCCAAAATGGCCATCTTTTTTTTCCTCACACAATACAATCCAATCTGTCTCCCCATCTTTGTACAGCAGATTCTCCATATTTGAAATGCACTCCTCTCTTTTCACATCTGCTTCTTAAAATTCCTAGCTTCCTTCAAAGCTCAATCACAACACTCCCTTATACTAAAGGCCTTCCTTGAATTCCCAAGATTCTAGTTCCTCTCTCCCCAAAAAAACTACCTTGTTTTTATTTTGTATATTTAAGTATATGTATTTAAGTATTTTAGTGTATATACTGTCTTCCCTGATAGAATAGAACTTCCCTAAGGTCACAGACTCTTTCATTTTTGTCTTTGTGGCCCCACCACCTGGGGCAGTGTCTGGCACACAGCGGGCACTGAACAAATGCTTGTTAACTGACTATCACTACTGAGCTAACAACAATTTCCCCTTTTCTGATCTTCACATCCATATTATTTGTATTCATAAATATTATTTTTAATATCAAAATATCACAAGAAAACAAAGGAGAGGTTTGTTTGTTTTTTTAAATTTCATTCCATTTGTATTTTGTCCTTAAGAAGCTTAATACAAAAGTGAAGACTCCATCATACCTGCTTTCCTTCTCCAATATGAATGTGGTCTTTTTGCTTTTCTTCATATAAACATCTCAGGAAAGAAATAACCAGTTCATTCTCCTTTTGCTCATTTCTTGGCCTTATTTTCTTCAAGGAATAACAAAAAGAAAAAAAAAAGAAACTGATAAGAACTTTTTTTTCCCCAACAAAACACCTACCCCACCGAAGCTCATTGAATTAAGGTGATTTTCCCAGATAGTCACTAGATGGCACCAATGATTGTAAATATGTGGCATATTAACCACTATTAACATCATTATTATGACAATATTCTACTCTGTAGTTGCAGGCAGAGTACAGGCTAGAGTTCAGTGGACTGATGACATGGATAAGTTGCATACAGGCAGGTCACAGGGTTTTTTTTCCCATTTTAAATCCTATTTTCTTTAATAAATAACTGCAATCATAAAGAATCATGGAATTTTGTTGACAGAAGAAATTTAGAGTCCAACATCATTGTACAGATAAGGTAAATGGCCTGGAGAGATTTAGTGATTTCTTTCTACAAGGTCACTCAGCTAATAGGTAACAGAAGCAGGGCTCAAAGTCAGGTCTCATAAATCGCCAAGACTCTTTCCGGTAAAAACCCTGCCAAGCAGAATCACGGGATCACAGACTTAGAGCTCAAAGGGACCTCAGAGGTGATGTAGTCCAACCTGGTCATATAGATGAGGAAACTGAGAGCTACAGAGTTTAAGTGACCTACCCAAAGTCCCCTGGAGACTCAACTGGTAAAGGCAAAATTTGAACCCAAATTCCGACTCCAGTTAATCGATTTCTTTTCACTGTACAATACTACCTTAAACTATTTCATATACAAATACTTTTTATTTAATAGGAGAAAAAGACTGTAACTGTATAAGCACTACTGAAGCCCTGAACCACATTATTTCAAGACTCTTCCCCTACACAAACTAGATACTAGATACCACATTTACAAGAAATAGGCACGAAGTCTCCAGGGATGGTATAAAATCAGGATACATTATTTGACTTCTGATGTCCCCTCAAAATCTACTCCCAGATTTCCTCAAAAAAGTAGTGACCTGCTCAGTACAAGAAAAATCTAAAAAGTTTTCAGGTTTTGTATGCTTGTTGCTTCACTATATCATTACATGAACTTTAAAATTTTCAACAGGTTATCAATTAACTTTTAATATGAAAATAAATGTTAACAAATGAAGTTTGGTAGCCACACGCACTATGTATAAGCCAACCATAGGGCTTGAAATATTATTTGGAATTTCATGGCCCTCTTCAAAGGATCTATGGGTTCAGTACAAAATACAACCATTCACATTCCTACATCCTGAGCAATTCTCATCCTAGTTCTCCCTTATTCCCTCCAAGGAGGATCCATCCAATACTTTGGAGGCCTTCCTTTAGGTCAAAGATTCTCAACCCTTTTTGTATCATGGACTATGAATACTATTTTCAGAATAATGTTTTTAAATATAGAAAATACTTAGGATTACAAAGGAAATCAATTATACTGAAAGACAGTTATCAAAGTTCACAACCTCAGGTTAAGTACTTCTGTTTTAAGTCTTCTAACATTCTATAAGTACCAAAGCAACACTTCAGCTATCTGTTATGCCTTGCTCTTGTTTTAAGGCTATCCAAACTCTTTTTACATTTCCTAGATAATACCTTTTAGGCCTTTTGTTGTAAACACATCAGTACAGCCCTTGTGCGCATCTATGTTGCCCTTTGGGGAGGGGAGGTCACCACACATTTGTATTTTTTTTTTGGAGACAGTTGAATATCACAAAATTTGCAGGCATATCACATGACTGGAAGAATACTAACATTAAAAAGATGTTTTTCCCCCATGCAAAAGTTTTACTTCCCCGTATTAGCACATTAAGTCTTTAGCTGTATGAGATGACTATGAGAGGGAAAAGGGTAGGAACACTGAATGAAATTCTGGTGAAATAAAATAACAAAAGAGATCAATAAATTTATTTTAAAAATACTTCAGTGGTGTTGTAGTCCCAAATTAATAGAGTTCCCAATAATGAAAATTTATTATACAAGTACTGACAGATCTGTTTCATTTCTGGTCTGTTTGTTATACTCCTTTCCATATAATCAACAAATGTTTTTGGAATGATTAGCATTAGTTAAGTATCCTACTAAATTTCCTAGAGTCATTCTCCCTTTCACTGTTCTTATGATGTATCTTGTGACATAAAACTGGTCATAATCTTCCATTATCATCTTCAAAACATTTACCAAAAGAATTTAAGTTCTAAAACATAATTGCTTTTAGTAGTCATATCTCTCCATTTGGCAAGGAGAAAATATTTGCTGGCTGAGGCAGAGGTTTCTGGACTGTTTCATTTCTTTATTGTGGTGATGGCTTTATACACTGGCGTCCTGGCTATTACATGAACAAGTCACTCCAGGAATTCTTTCGGATTGTCCCTCATGCCTAGAATGTTCTCTCTTTCCTCTGCTCATACTACCAACCTTCCTGGCTTCCTTTACATTCCAAATAAAATCCCACAGGAAACTTTCCCCAACCCCTTCTAATTCTAGTGCCTTCCGTCTGTTAATTAGCTCCTGTTTATTCTCTATATATCTTGCTTTGTGTATATTTGATTGGTGTCTCTCCCATTAGATTGCAAGCTCCTTGACAGCTAGCTAGGACTGTCTCTTGCCTCTTTTTGTATCCCCAGAACTTAGCACATTGCCTGACACATAGCAGGCACTTAATAAATACGACTGACTGATTGATTATACTGATTAAACATACATGTTTTTCCACTTGACCAATTTCTGATGTTTCTAGCAGTAAGAGCTTATCTGACCAGGTAAAGGTAGATCTACTGTACCTTCACATGGTCACCAGTCTTCTCACCTCACCTCTATCCTAGTTTGGTGTTGATTTTGATCATTTGTCCTAACAAGTCAAAAATCTGGTTATATAGAAACAGTTATTTCAGAAATGATTACCATAAGAGTTACTAATATCTTCTGTTAAAGTATATCCTATCTCCTTAAAAAAAACCAAACAAACTCTTCTAGTGAAGCAGTAAATTTCTTCTTAAAAGTATTCCCATTCTGCAGATCTGCTGTTAACTTGCTATGTGACCTTGGTTAAGTCTAACTTCTCTGAAACAACCGGTCTTGGTCTTCTCTGAGTTTCTTTCCAGCTCCCAAATCTTGTGATTCTGACTGTAACTTGGAACTACATACATGGCCTTCTTAAAAAAGTAGATTATGTCACCATCTAGAACATGGTTGGCCAACATTCCTAGCAACTCTTAATAATCTTCGATATTTTTGTCCCATTTAACCTCAGAGAAAAAATGACTCCCAGAAATTCACATGCAGGAATCAGAATAATATAAATCTAGCTCACTTTTTTTTTTCCTCTTTCAATAATCAGTATAGCAATATGGCAGGGTAGAAAAAGCCCAGATTTTAAAGTTTAGTTAACTTCAATTGGAATCCTGGAGAGGTTTTTTATTACACTGTGAACTTTGGACAAATCATTGGACAAGTCGGCCTCAGTCTCCTCATCTCTAAAATGAGGAGACTAGACAAGATGATCATTACCCTTCTCAGTCTAAAATCTATGATTAATGGTTATTACTTAAAAATAAAAGAACATAAAACCATCCCACCCTTGCTCCCAGTGGAAAGGATAGTTTTGCAAAGGAGGGAAGATGGTTCACATTTAGGATTTCCTTTCATGTTTTAGATTTGTAGCCTGAAGACGTAGTCTATGACTAGACAGCTGCTACCTCAGAGCTCATTCTCGTTAACTCTTTCCCAAAAGACTGTGAATGAATTGGAGTAGTAAAAGTCCTATACCCCCACCTCCCAGAAAGAGAATCAAATGAAAAAGAGAAAGGAATTAAGAGATATCTAGACAGGGGTGTAAAAGTGCTATCTTATTCCTCTCCCCAACCATGCTATGCAGAAAGCCTCTGTACCTTCAACTCTGCCTTCTGTCTACCCTCAAAAAGCAGTAACACATTCCACAAGGAAAAAAAAATTTCTTGGCAATTTATTTGAACAGAAGAAAAAAAAATAAGTGGGACAGGTGAGTGATCTCTTTTTATTCCTCTCAATGTCTAGTCATATAAATGTCAAAGAGGGAAAAAAATCTAAGAGTAAAAATTAGTCAAGACACTACAAAAAGAGATTCTCTAAAAATCAAAAGCAGGCTCTAAGGCTCCACCTGAAATGTCACATCAGACAATGCTGTGGCACTGTAAAAGCTATCTCTACAAGCTAACTACAAAGAGCAGTAGACTTCAGTGTTTCCACACAATCAAAAAATCGTTTTTTTAAAAGTCACCATAATATACTCTTCTAAATAGCTCCAAAAGAATGGAAAAATCACACCTACCTAAAAGCCATGTCAGAGGCCATCTTGCCCAATTACCTCATTTTACTCAGAGGCGCAAAGAGCTTATGTGACTTACTGACCCAAAATCACACAGGTAGTTAAGACACAGGATTTTAACCCAGGTTCTCTGACTCCAGAGTCAGGCTCTTTCCACAGTACCAGACTTGTCTTCCTAATCCTCCCTGAATATGCACACCTCAGGGATTTTCAATATTACTCATTCTGTTAAAAGACCCCAGAAACAATTCCTGAATGTGTCTATCGCTTGTATAGTCAAACTTTATTTTGATTACCTACCTAGGGAAGGAAGGCATTCTACATATGTGTTAAACATTCTTACATCCAAGTTAATCGTGAAAGGTAACAGTGCGATACAATGGAAAAAGTGTTGGACTTGAGAGTAAAGAAAACTACATTCAAATACAGGCTCTGGGACTGGGTAAGTAAGGAGACAATTAACTAATCTCTGAGCTTCAGATGCTTTAACTATAAAATGAAGGAACAAATTCTTATACTGCCTAACTCACAGGGCTGTTGTGAAGAAAGTTATCACCACCATCATCATAGCTAGATTTATATAGTGCCTACTATGTGTCAGGCACTGGGATAAGTGCTTTACAATTATTATCTCATTTGAGCCTAATAACTACCCTGCAAGGTGGGTACTATTATTATCTCTGCTTTACAGTTGAGAAAAATGAGGCAAACAGAGGTTTGGTGACTT